TTTGTATCTTCATGCCCATACATATCCCGATGAAAGTTCCAGATTAAGACGATTACGTCATCGGAGATTTCACAACGGCTACGACTGGTGGTGCAATAAAACAGTTTGTGTTGATCAAGTGATGTGTCTACAGTAATCAATGAATCATCAAAGACTGCTTTGGAATCTGCCCTGCATTGCGACTGTAGAGCTAAGAAAACAGTTAAATTTTAAAAGCGCGGTTATAAGATCTTAAAGATCTTCTTGTCTTTTTATAAGCTCGCTTGCTTACATAAAACTTTTCACGGACGAGTACTATCCATCCGGGTATTTTCCTCAGACAGACACTATGGGCTGATAGTGTCTCTCCGCGGATGAACACTATCGCGTCTCGTGATCAATTTAAACCAATAAGAATCGGAGAAAATTTATTGCTGAACTATAATCTCGAATAGTACGAATAGTGGCGCACAGTCTCGAATAGTGGCGAATAGTGGAAAATTAGTGGTAAATCGTGGCAAGTAGGGTACCCAGTATCTCGCGGTCAACCTCGCAGCAACGTTGGACGGGATTTTCCCGGTAAAAAAGCACAGACGCTTATCAGGACAAAAGGTGTTTCTAAACTTAATTTCTTCTGTTTTAACCGCCTCAAAAGCGTAAATACGTCTTTACTAAGTTATCCTTGTGTTTTCTGTTTTCTTAATGTCGGCGATGAACAGCCCGAGCCTGAGTCCGGAGAAGAAAAGATAATGAATTCACTGAAATTCTGTTGCTTATTTGGATAATTAATTAACGCAGGATATCATACCTAAAGCGGTGACTATTGACGACTATTCGTCACTATTCGCCACTTTTCGCCACTTTTCGCCACTATTCGCACTATTCGAGACTATTCGCACTATTTGGGACTATTCGCTATTCGCTATTCGCTATTCACTATTCGCTATTCGCTATTCGAGTNGTACTAAACAAACAAGCATTTATATAAGCACTTTTCCTAGTGCTCTAACTTCTAAAAAGGCTCAAAATCATGAGATAAGTATATATTTTTCAACAAACTCGATCGTAGCCTTGTGTCATGTAACCTCCATAACCCTGAAATTCAAAATGCTCTGATTTCCAAACGAAGTACGCTAATTGTAAACAGATATAAATATACCCCCTGTTATGCCTGATTTCCCAGGAATTAAAGCCAAAATACGACCAAGGAAAAATTACAAAATAAATTTGTTCAAATTTCCAGGACTACACACTAGGTGTTTTACAGAGTGAGGAAGCGTTGTAGGCTTGTGGGTCTACTCAGGTGACAGCGCCTTCCTTAATAGTTGCTTCATGGTTAGAGTTTAGTTTAAAATTTCAGACGATTGGCGTTAATGGCTGATAAAATGTGATTTAACTATAACACCGAAATATCAATGTGTAACAAAGGAGGAGGATATGTAGCGTATGTTGCACTGATCATAATTTTACTGAGAACTGCAAAGAAATGCAAGCCAAGTCGTGTTTTGATGATTGAGTGGTGATATTCATAACATAGTAGTTAGCAACAAAATTTAGTCGAAAGTATAAAAAAAAAGCAAGTTCTCAGCCATTATAATTATAAGATGGCTTTAATAAAAACATCGGTATTCACGTACGCCAATTCTCTATCCACACCATCCCACCATCCATGCCATTCCTTAGGTTTTAGTCGGGATCATTTGCGGTACCTATCGGGGATCATTTTCGGTCCGGGATCATTTGCGGTCCAATTTGGGGATCATTTGCGGTCCGGGATCATTTGAGATCCTGGGATCATTTGCGGACCCGTACAGTCACTGTATCACAGAATAGATAGTGAGTAGCGTAGCCAATCAGAGAACAGCATTCGTGATAGAAAGCTAGTAAATTTACACTAATCACGGTACATGTTTCCTATTTCAGAAATATCTTACATATTTTATTTCCCAAGGGTGAACAACTCCGAACACATTGTTCGCGCGAGAAGCACGTAAGGACATAAACCTTTTTGGCGACTTTTAAACTTTGTCTTTGGGGGTGTTTGGGAGAGGCAGACGATAATCCGTGGACACTTTACCATGCCATGGAATTAAGTGTCTACTTGCAACAGAAAAACAAACAAAACAAAAATCGAAAGCGTGTTGGGAATGTCGCCATCACAGCCGGTCATGGCTTCTTTGTGGGAGATGTAACGTCAGAAATGCGAATTCCAACACTCAAAAACAATGTTATCTTAGGAAGATGATTTGCAACTGTGTTTGTTCTTTCTAAAAATAGAACAAGTTACTCAATCATTCGAGTGCCGAATGCAGCCCAGATGTGGAAATTCCCCAAAACATTCTACAAATAACTTCTCCAAGTTTTCATCCTTACACGAGAACTGAAGTAGCGCCATAAATGGTTTACAGAGCTTTACACTGAAACGGTTTTCACAGTCATGCGTGCGATTAGTTTAATAAACACAATGATTCTCGTTAGATCTGACAATAGATAATCCTTTTTATCTCTCTTAATCCAGCTGCCCGATTCCAGAAGATATGCTTTGTTTTTGGTTTCAATTTATGCACTCTGACCGTATTCTATCACCGCCAATTATCGCTAACCTCAGATACATACACGATGAGTTGAGCGATCAATTAAAAGTTTTAGAAGGCAAAAAAAAAAAAAANACAATCATGACCACACCACTGTACTCTGTACCAAAAATACCGGTTAAATTTACTCTGAGAGTTTTACATTAAATGCACTAATGACTATGCGTTAGCGGACGAAAAAAAAAAAAAAAAAAAAACTTTCAAGAGCACGAGAATGTAATATTTAGGATAAATCATATTGCAAAATTCCAAGAGGAGGAGAAAAACGAGACTAGAACATTTGATATCGGCAGCCGGTCTTGATTACAGGAAACGGCACTTTTTCACACCACAGAACGAGACTTTGTTGCGTAATTTCTAATAAGACAAACAACAACTGAACGATCTTATCCTAAAAAAATATTCTTTACATACTCGACAACGTTAGAACTGCCGTTTCTACTGTAATGATTCTGTCGATGTCAAGTGTCGACTGACAACCGATAACCGCGTGTTGGACGCGGGAGCCCCGAGGCCGTCACGCAATTTATAATACACATGTTCACAAATTTGTAATATTCTTTTGCTTACCTCACGTCCTTTTTTCCATCTTTAGTCTTCACATACATGTCCCAGGCAGAGGCATGGCACTCGACATCTATTCCTTCGGGTTTTCTGATCAGAGATCTCTCCACGAATTTCTCAGGAAGTTTCTCCATCCCGAGGGACACAAAAAACGATTCAGTAATTCGAAAGATTTCTTCGATCGTATAGTTTTTGTCTTGCATGGCTTTAGTCACATCAAGACTTGAATTAACGCTGTATGGCTCGACTAAGGGGTAAATTTCCCCCCAAGATTGAGACCACATATTGCCGAGCAAATGTGCCGGGATCGCATCTTCTTCTCTTACTTGAGGGTATTCTTTGGCAAGTTTGTGCCGAACATATGCGTGTAATTCTTTATAAAATGGCTCTAGATCTCTCCAGAGGTTTTCTACGAGTTCTGGAAGGTTATCAACCTCATACCATGACCGCCAATAAGCGCCGTAGTCAGAGTAACCGTTATCTCGGGCTCCCTCATTCGACAATTTCACGTATTGTTCATAGAGCGGGCGAATTTTCGGACCCACCGCGTCACGCCATTCTTGCCACGCCATTTTCAACTCGGCAAACTTCCGTGAGGAAGCCATGATGTCAGTTAAATCTGGAGACAACGATAAGTTTTTTCCTGTTGCTTGGTCATAAACTTCAGTTGAACTGTAAATTTTCTGCATCTGAATCTTTAAGCTGGCTAGTTCTTCCCGTTTTTGCACATCCTTCAGCGTCGAAGACTCGCGAATGAGCTTGATTTGTCGCTGAAATTCTTCAGGCAAATCTTCCACGTTGCCCAGTTGGGAAGCATTCTTCTTAGCTTCTTCGAAAAATGTGTCAAAAGCTAAGCTGGCTGCTTTGGTGGCCGCTGCTGCTTCGCTGGACGAAAGATTGGTGGAATATTTCCAACTCGCGACCTCGTTTGCGTTCGCTTCTAAAGGTGCTCGGCGATTGAATTCGGTCAAAAATTCTTCGGCTTTGCTGTTCGACTCCGCCAAAACGATTTGCGTCAGGGCAATCAAACCAGCAAGGGCTACACGGAACATCGTACGGTAAACAGAAGATGCTAGGCTAAAAGCAGCTAAGACACACCACGTTGTAGATATGTAAACTGAGTTATGTTCTCATAAGCCGCGGCCTATGACGTTTCACTGATGAGTGAAATTGAGAACTTTGGCTATTTGACACCATATCAAATGTTGACTTTGGAAACAAACACGGGTTCTCACATATGTCATATATTTCTGCCGGCGTTTTAAAACAAAATATCCGTCCCAAGTGTGACATTTTACCGTGAAACCTGCGATAAGGCTTTCTTTTTTTCTTTGGCATGGCGAACGGGGGAAGGGAGAAAAAAAGAGTGTGGCAAGAAATTTTAGTGGGAGTTAAATTTTGAGCATCGGCTATCTTTGCACGAGGCTCATTTTTGCGATTGTAAATTCTGTTTTTTCTTGCTGGATATTAATTTTTTGCGATTTTCAGGAAGTTGCGTTTAATTGGAAGTACAACATTTTTATTTCTGTGAACGGAATATTTCGTAAAACATTTTAAAATAAACAGTAGCGATATTAAAAAGGCGTTTCGGCGACGACAACAGTAGACCACTAATCTTCATGAGCAATTTACAATCGTGTAAAGTAAGAAGTTTGAGTGCTTTTATATTTACGAGATGCTCTTATTAGCTTAACAAACTCAAAAGGAGTTCATATAAGCGAAACTGTTCACTTAGTTAAGTACATTATTTTGATTTTTACACCCCATTTTATCCTAATGTAATTTCACACTTTCATTTTATCTGGTACTACTATGCATTTGATAATGGTGACACGTCATGTTTTAATATCGCTACTGTTTATTTTAAAAAAAAATTCGTTTTCTTTTTATTAAACTGCATGCAATTGCGGCAAGTGAAACAACGTTCAGGTCTGAAATCACTTTAGGCCACTGATACATCTTGCATTAGTGTGAGTTACCTGTGATAGGTCAGCCATAAATAAGGTACAGCTTGATACATTGTACCTTAATCGTTTTATTTCTGAACGTTTCCAATTTCATCGTTCTGTCTCTGAACGAAAGAGACATGTTAAATCAATTTCACCAACAAGATTCTACATGTGGTTTCTGTATGTGTAATTTTGCCAGAGGAGTAAATTTTTAGCGTTTTTTTTTTTTTTTTTTTTTTTTT